GTGTGTGTGTGTGTGTGTGTGTGTGTGTGTGTGTGTGTGTGCAAATTAGCATGCCTGGTGTGCGGTTTGAGTAGACATGTGTAGTGAGTGAAGGGAAATGTGGGTCTTGCAGATAAGCAGCTTGTTGAGAGCAGCCTACTCATGTTAAATTGGGTTATGCACCTCAGGTGCCCCAGCACTGTGCGACAACCTCTACTGATTAAACGTGAACCTCATCCTTCAGATTCAGGTAACCAGGTGAGAGACAATACCTTGCGGTCTTTATTGTTTCTCTCAGAAATGATAAAATAAAGAGTGGTAAAGAGATATTAAACTACAAACAACAATGTGTTATGACAAACAATGTACATTCCTTATTTGTTGTATTGTTTTCTGTTATTAACTACACAGTTGCCCCAGAGTATTTACGTGATGTGTATTGCTGCAAATGTTACGCTTTGATAATAGATTATAATGCACTCTCAATGTAATTATGCCTGCAGAGGGTTGTCCCATCGACCTTTCTCTACATTGCCACTTAAGTTCCCCGTTGGATCAGTTTTACATTACATCAAATTACATTAGTTTAAAGTGAACGGTCAGATGTTTGAACGATCTCTCGCGTAACAAAGCCAACCCCTGAACCCACTGTGACATGTGAAAAGATGTAAACAGCTGACATATAATGTGCATGCTGTTTTCATATAAACGCACAGGGACCCATCTGGGTGGTACTAATTGCAGAGTGCGAATCCCAAAAGTCACAGCTGCACCTGGTACTCTCCTCCATCTCTTTACTTTTCCATTCGTCTTTGAATTCAGCCTCCCCTGCATCGGCCATTTGATAATTCTCCCACAGCCTTTTACTGCCTTAACTCTCCCCTGTGCCCCCCCCCCCCCCCCCCCTCCTTCCTGTGGTTCCCTCCTCACTTCCTGTCTGTCAGACAGTAAGAAGGAGCAAATGAGAAAGACCGAAATAAATTCCCAGTGCCAGAATGTCTGATTGAATTGGGACAGGTGGAGAGGATATGAGGATGGTGGTCAGATGAATTTTCTATAGCTTGTGCCAACATGTGCATGTGTGCGTGTCAGGGTCAATGCCATTAAATGGAAGCTGTCACTGAGTTAGAAATTGATTTCTTTCCCATAAAAAAAGATATGTGTGCAGTCTGCATGAAAGCAACACACACAAAAAGCCCTTTTTTTTTTTTTTACTCGCGCTTGGTGGGACAGTAAGTGTGAATTAGTTTTTTGCTGTGCGGTTGTGGTGCGAGCGTGTTTGTGTGTTCTTTTTATTTGGGTGTGTGATGGAGAGAATTCAAGAGGGAGACCAAAGCGTGATGGATTAAAGCTCAATCTGTTGTTGAAAACCTCTCTCCTGTGGTGTGTGTGTGTGTGTGTGTGTACATTGTACAGGTATGTGTGCATCTCTGTGTTTTTTGTGTTTCCTGTCCACTTTAATCAGAATGTACTAGATTTGATAACCAGCTCCTCATTCATCCTTCCTTTTCAGAGGTCCTTCCGTTCCTTTAGTAACGATGACCGCCACGTCATGGCAAAGCACTCCACCATCTACCCCTCCTCTCAGGAGCTGGAAGCCGTTCAGACGCTGGTGTCCACCGTCGAGTGCGCCCTCAAACACGTCTCTGATTGGCTGGATCAGACCAGCAGCAGTGTCCCCAGCCAGGTCGACGGCCGACCAGCAGACAGTACAGAGGAGGACGAAACTGGCAATGAGCCCAGCAATGAAACTGAGGGTTCCACTGACAGCTCCAGGTGAATGGATTGATTATTTATATAAAATGTCATAAACTTTACATGACGTAGGAGGCAACATCCTCTTAAGGAATAGGTCGACATATTGGGGAAAAAGAGGGATGTAGTAACATTTGAATTTAGCTGTAAACTGACATGCGTGTCCTCATTGTTAAAAGCTGAATGTTACCTGTCGTCTGCTTTTTCTTTACAAACAGAGAGCCCAGCAGCGGCGGCGTGCTGTGTGGAGTGATGAGGATCGGTCTCGTAGCCAAAGGCCTCCTGATCAAAGGCGACATGGACCTGGAGCTGGTGCTGATGTGCAGAGACAAACCCACACAGACACTGCTGGACACTGTCTGTCACCATTTGCCCACACAGATAGAGGTTAGAAAACACGCACAGACCCCCCCCCCCCCCCCCCCCCCCCACGCATGCACACAGGCACATGATGCTGCTTTTTAGTCTGGCAAACACACTGCCACACACAACGCATCTCAGCCTTGCATCAAACCTTCAGTCATAGTCTTCCAAATATGATCCAAAAAGCTCTATTTTTATTGCACTGTCCTCTCCCACGTCAGAAATTAAGCTTTTTGGATAAGCTTCCACATTTGATTGAGTGTTTCTGCTTGGATTTGGCAACTCTCGCTGCTCTGTGTGTGCGTGCGTGCATGTGTGTGTGTGTGTGTGTGTGTGTATAAAAGTTCCCGTGTAAGTGTAGAGAGAAGCTCGTTGGCATAAGAAGGCAAGCGGCAGCAATGTCGTCAAGTGGGAAGTTGAGAGGGGTTTGAGTATGTATGTGTGATTAATGCTCCCGTCGCTGCTTTTCAACATGTGTTCAACAACTGCAACATGTGCAAAAATTACGCAATGAATAGATTTTGCCCCTGAGCCTCTTCTCTGCCTGTTGTCTTTAGTAGTTAAGTGGTGTGAGGGAGGAAACATTACGTGTGTGTGTGTGTGTGTGTGTGGAAATCTCATGTCTCGGCCCACTGAACAGAGTTTTTGATTTTCTCATCAAGGCCAAATGGGATGTAGATGGGCCCTCTGCTAGATGCAACATAAAACAAATACTCACACACACTCCTTCACTTATGCTGTGATTTAGTTCACATCTTCTGTTTATTCAATATTTATAGTCGGTTATGACATTATATGGTTTTGTGAGTCTGTGTGTACCTGTTTTTACCTGCGGGGCTAATGCGTGTGTAGTTGTGTGATCATTTGTGTCTGCAGGGCTTTCTGAGATTTGAGAAGAGATTTTGTCGTTGTTGTGTTCCCATTCATTCTTGTATGTAGTCACATGTGTGCTTAAATGCATGACTGTATCAAGTAACGCATGTGAATCAAGATGGATGTTGTAGTGTTGACACGAATGTGACTTTTAAAACAAGTGTTTTTCCCCATTATCATGTGTGGACAAGCAAGTTTGATACTTCTCACATTTCAAAAGCAGGCTCAGATTTATTTTCCTCTTTATTTTAGTATCTGCACGGGGGCATGTTGTGACCTTAGCCGCTCTGACCATCTAGTTATGTTCGTTTGACACATGACAGAAGCTGACAGAAGAGAAATATGAGGTCACAAGCTCCTTGCCCGAGGCGGCCATCTTGGTACGAACTACGACAGACCCTAAACTCGCGCTGACGATCACCCTCACCTCGCCGACTATGAGGGAAGACGAGGAGGAAGAGGAGGAGGAAGAAGAAGAGGAGTTGGAGAATGGGGAGGAAAGACAAGAGGAAGAGGAGGAGGAGGTGGAGGAGGAGGAGGTGGTGGAGGAGGAGGAGGTGGTGGTGGAGGAGGAGGAGGAGGAGAAGAAGGAGGAGGAGGAGGAGCAGGAAGTGGATGGTGAAAAGGAGGAGCAGGAGAAGCAGAATGGGCGAGGTAGGAACACACAAGTTGCAGTTTTTCTCTATTTCTCGCTACACACCCCAACACGCAATTTCATTTTTGAAATGCATTTGTATATTTCATAGAACAGTTTTATTTGCCTCAAACAAGAGGTATGACCTCAGACAAGACGGCTGCAAGATGCATACAAGAGCTGCCCCCAGTAGCTGCCCCCCCCCCCCCTGCCCCCGCCCCCAGTAGCAGGAACTGATTATAAGTGGTTGTGGGACGGGACGGCGAGGCCAGCAGGCCAGCAAAATCAATAACCGAGCAGTAGCAAGCTGCTCATCCATCCTGTGGCTCCCGTCCAACTAGACACTCGGGTCTCAGAGAGAGATGAGAGATAGCACGGAGGTTAGCTGTACGTCACGCCACGAGCAAGACGGAGAGGACCGCTCGTATTTTTCTCTCTCGCACATCGAGAAGAGCACACGAGCAGCCGCACGGAGGAGGAGACATGCGCACACACAAACACACACAGCCGTATATTGCACCTGACGGCTAGAGATACCTGTCACACTGGATGTCTAATTGCTCAGATATCATCAGGCACCCGTGGTGTTGAGGGATGAGGGCCAGTCCGTCAAATAGGGTCACATCGTAAAACAAAAGGCGGGGTGTAACACTTTTACACATTAACACGTGCATTGACAGGCACAGATACCAGCTGTGTTTTACAATGTCCTATTTCTGTTTCCACTATTTCTGAAAGACACACAAACAGCATGGTGCACACATTTAATGGGATTAAAAGCAGTAAGTCTTGGCTATTTAAATGCTTTGATCAATAGTGCCTTCTGATTTGATGTCAGGCAATCAATACATTGATTTAATATAGTGCGTGGTAATTTTATGTGGATCGTCATGTGGATCCGGGTTACTTGATTGTGTATATTTTTACAAGACTATGTACAGTTTAGTATTTGATTGAATAGATGTTATTGCATGCCTGCGTGCTCTTTGAGCTTAGATGCAGGCCACAGAGGGAGGGAGGGTGGGGGCTGTGTCAATTTGTGGAGACACCGTAGCGAAGGGAATTTTTTTTAATTGGACTAAAAGAGAGGACAGTCGATAACACAGAAGGAGATAATGATTAGAATAAGAGCGAGGAGCGAGGGTTCAGCCAGCAGAGCAGTGGGAGGACGAGCAGGCGAGAGGAGAAACACTGTAATGATCCACTAGCAGCAGAGAGGTCCCACATGCAGCCGTGTTCACGCTGACAGACCTTCAGATACACCGTTGCACACCACATAGAAGCACAAATACACACACCGCCGCACGCGTCGGACGGTGGAAGAGCTACGCTGCAAGAGCCCCCGGATGAGTCCAGGGATAATGTGACATAGATGTGCTCAAGCTGCTGCACATTGCACACATTTGACATTTCAACTTAATATTTCTTCAGGGAAGGATTTTCTTTTCACGGCAGAGGGATTCAGAAAATATTTACCTAGTCGTGTTTTCATAGAGACCCAAGGGGCTCTTTAGCGTGTTTTATGTCACTTCCACTCGGTCCCGCACACAATAAACCCTCTTCAGAAACCCCATGTAACCGCACTCATTCATACATAGCTGCATTTGATTCGGCTCGCCTCGCACATCAGATACACCAAATACTGAAGTAGCAGAATTGGTGAGCTCAGAGTACCTCAACCATCAGGGTGTGCTTGGCGGCATGAATCAAACGCTTGCATATAAAAGCGCAGGAATGCTCCTCTTTTTACCAACCCGATGCTCTGACTAAACCCTGCCTGGATCCCTCCTGTGTTGTGTTTGTCTGAGACTGGGTCAAACTATCTTAGATTTTTTGTTTTTCTTTTCTTTTCAGTTCTACTTTAGGAGCGCTTGATTCTGTGTTTGCCCAGACAGGGAGTTTGATTTGTTTTCTCTGCAACATATTTCTTTGAACCTGTGAAAATCAAGTGCACCTTAAGTAATCCAGATGAAAAAGTTAAACTTCTATTTTGACTCCTGCTTGCTGCGGATTGGATCAAAATGAATGAAATCCTCCTCAAATACATAAAGGAGAGATTGATTTACCTTGCTGGGCACAGGGAAATGAATGGACGTGTCCCAACAATGCCCACACATTAAATCAAACACTCCTTAGGTATTTGTTTGGTGTATGTCTTTGGGGGGGGCTCTCCATCCCAAAAAGTTGTCTCCTCCCTCATGACTCCGGTTGCTCTCCCTTTCACTGATTGGCCAGTGACTGGATGGATGAAAACTACCTAATCACTGTTAAACAGTGCGTTTCATTTTCAACACATGTACTGTATGTATTACTATGTCAACATGTGATGCAGTTAACACATGTTTGACTTATCACAGTGTTGAAAATGACACACCGTTTATAGAGGTGAGGTGGGTTTTTTCTGTGCATTCATCACAGATCCGTGACCCGTAGAGAGTCGGCGCTTTCTACAAGGAGGGGAACAACTTTGTGGCATGAAAAGCACCTTGTATGTACCAAAAATATCCATGCTTGTGTGTTCGTGAATGTGTGCATTCGCACTCAATACCAAGTGCGTCTGCACACATTCACGCGCGCACAATTCAAACACACACACTCAGACATGACGTGTGTGTGTTTCACGTTCTCTACATTGGGTTGTTATTGTTTTGTGGCAGTGTTGGGTGCTGCTGCGCAGACAGTGGAGGCTGAGGAGGAGGAGGGGGAGGTGCTGGATAGACACAGATGTCTGTTGGCCCTGGCAGCGCTGCGACACGCCAAGTGGTTCCAGGTCGGCACCCACTCACTTCCTGTCTTCCTGCCCGATGCTTATTGTAGCCTGACGATTCGCCCGGAGGGCATAGACTCACTGCCAGCTAATGCTGTGGTGCTAATGATCAGATCAGACTCATCTAGAAGAGATTAAAAGTATGGAAACATGACCTACGATCATCAGTTCTAATTTACACGTTAGAATTATTACAAGTGATCTTAAAGTTAAAGGCAGTTTGGCTGATAAACATGTGTTTGTATGCATAGTCATCACCAGTTCAGTTAGCAGGATTGTTGTTTTTCAAAATCTTGAACAAATATTACACAAAAAGTGTATTTCTTTTGTGCTCCACCCACTTGAACTGACAAAAAGATGAATGTAAGAAGAATCGTAAGGCTACAAAAGCAATGATTAATACTTGTTTTTTCTTTTTGGCAATTATGTGAACCTGCCTGCTCTGTACAGTATGTCAGTGCTTCCCTTTGATTCCCCTCCCATACCCCTCCCCATCTATCTCCCAACTCACTTACCTTACTGACAACATTTTTTTTTTTTAATTTAGAGGAATCCTTTTAGTAAAACATGACGAGTGAACTATATTCAAAATGTTTAGTGTCTTCAGAACTCAGGATATTCATTCTCTTGTGGGGGTTTTGACAGAAACTATCACTTCATTGTGAAGTAGGCTGTTTATCTGTATGTGTTTGTACAAATACCACTCCTCTCACACTCAATGTGTTCCCTTCCTCCCTCTTTCTGTTTAATCTTCCCTCTTGCATCCCTCCGCCTTTCCTCCTTCTCCCCTCGATCGCTCGATCTCTCTCAGGCTCGAGTGAACGGGCTCAAGTCCTGCGTTATCGTTCTCAGGATACTCAGAGACATGTGCAATAGACACCCCGTCTGGGAACCTGTCAAGGGATGGGTGAGTCTTTTGCTGTCACTGCCCGTGTTTGAGTGTTAATCCTGTGAAATAACAAGAAAGTGTTCAGCCCCCTTGACCTTTCATTCATTTGTATGCTGTTGTTTGCATTTGTGCATACAAAATACCCTTCATCACCCTGCTGTAATGGGCGGTTCCTGTTTTTGTTGAAATCTGAAGAGCTGTGCTCAAACATCATCCATAAGTGAACCGTGTGGCCCGTACAAGGCTGAAGAACCCAAAACAGGGTGTCATTAATATCTGACTGACAGAAGTACTTTTAATTGTGTTAGCAAGAAAGCTGAATTATGTTTATGTGAGAAAACAGCTAACTATAGCATGTGTACACAACATTTAAGCAACAGATAGTGAGCCATTTTTCGAAATGTTGTTGCATGTTCATCTGTCTTTATATGTGTGTGTGTGTGTGTTCTTGCAGCCCTTAGAGCTCATCTGCGAGAAGGCAATAGCCACCTGCAACAGACCCCTCGGGGCTGGAGAAGCCCTGCGTCGAGTCATGGAGTGTCTGGCCTCAGGAATACTGCTACCAGGTATGGATCCATGGTGGATACACGAATATACACAGCGGGAGAGATTAAAGAAATCAACAGAGGAGCATGTGTGTGTTTCCATGCAAATTGGCATCGCTGTTAAGCGTAGCGAGGTTTGGGTAGATGAGCAGATATGTCGAGGCTCTGCTCAGCACATTTTTGAGCTGTTACACTCTAAGAGAGGTCGACACATTATCAGTGACCCAGCACAGCTGTCTGAGGAAAGTCATTATTATGAAAGCATCTTAAATAGCAGCAGCTGTAGGGTTTCTTACAGAATGTTGGGCACCCTTGGCAAAAAATATTCAAAAGTATGTAAAAGCTGAGTTTAATTTTACTTGATTTAAGAAATTGAGTTTGGATGCTAAATATATAATAAATATATTTTAAAAGGGGAAAGAGCAGTGTATATGAATGTGTATATATAGATACAACACAAATGTGGAGCAATCAGAGGATGAGGACTTGTACCTTTTGAATTAAGTGACTGGTTTGAATAACTCACAGCCAGTTTGACCAGTTAAATATAATGATAGTCAGCATTTATTTCAGTGAAGCCTAATTAAATGTTGTTGAGCTGCAGTGTCAGTAAATAAAGTGACAACAACTGACTGTGTGTGTGTGTGTGTGTGTGTGTGTGTGTGTGTGTGTGTGTGTGT